AAACACTTCAGCTGTCACTCTATTAGCAGCTTTACCTCCCTATGAAATGAAGATGGGGCCAAGTTTGCCTGCATCGTGAGTTCACAGTAAGCAGCAACCAGATGGACAGCACATCACCATATGCTCCCCCTTGCCAAAAGGTCAAGAAGAAGCAAATACGAGACAGAAAAAAAAAAAAAAGGAGAGTGTGGAAACAAATACCTCTATAGCATACCCATTAATTCACACACACACACTCTTTCCTCCCGAAAGCACATTCTTCTATTATTTGCATCTTGGGATCAGAACTGCAAGTAGTGAGGACAATGAGTGGGGCAGCTGCAGACAGCATCAGCTCCAGCACAGCTCTTGCTAAGCAGGTAATGTGCCTGCACTGTATGCAGCAGTGCTGTGCTCCTACCAAGAACCCTCACACAAGCACAGGGAAAAGAACCTGCCTCACATGGCCCTAAGCAATAGGGAAGGGAACAAAGCCAGCACTGTATGTAGGGTCAACCCCAGAGAAGCAGAGGCTTTTCCCAATGCACTGCCAAGAGGTTCAGCTGTGCCCACTCCACAGCCTCCTCCACATTTCTTTTTGCCCAGAGATAATGTGTCAAAAGCTTTTAAGCAAACCTTGGATGCTACTTAAGTGCTGCATTGCTCCTCAGTCGAAGGAAACCAGCCAGCCACATCGTGTCTCCGAGGAGTACCTGCCCTTTGAACTGGTCCCAAAAATAACAGCCTCCAAAGCTAACAACGTCTATTGAATTACATTACTGCTCCCTGCTCAGGATTGACTTCTTAAAAATCAAAGAAAACAGAGCACTCATATTGCTAGAAGTGGCGGCTGGTAAGAGGAAAAAAAGTAATAAATACATGCAAGGAAAATCTTCCAAGTTGCCTTTAAGACCTTTGTATGAGTTAGCAAACAAACTGTGCCCCATATCTCACTTTCCTCTTCAAACACTGGTTTCAAAGCTAATTTTATCATTCCTGATAAAAAGTGACAATTTATTAGACACGGGCTGTAAAACCCAAGCAGCTCTTACACACCAGAAGCCACGGGCTGTGCACTGCTGAGACATCACACACCTCACGCTCACATCCAGGCTGTTTGGTAACACTCATTTACACACACAGGAGCCCTGCAGTTCACAATCAGGCAGCCTGTTTGAAATTCATATCACCACCTCCACGGTGATGCATTTTCTATGAGAAATCTGATAGGGGTGTACAGAAGTACTAAAACAAGTCAGCAGCGCAAGTCACACTCCACTTTAATAAAATCTGAGTTTTGCTATTTTGCTATATAAATTCTCATCATCTTAGTGGCAAAAGCTGGTAGGTACACTTTACTAACAGTCACATAACACTGTTAAGTCACTGTAAGCACGAGAGCCGCAGCTTTTTGACAAGCTCTGACACTTCCCTGGTTTGCAGGCAGCCTTTGAAGTTCCCTGAACAGCACAGACGCTGTCTCATGGCAATCCATTCAAGCAAAACTGAACTGTTTTCCTATGGCTGCTTGCTTTTCTTAATTATTTGGCAGCCCCTCAAAGTACCCACTGGACACGGAACCCATGGAAACCCCATGCTTTGGGCAGAGCAGGAGCAAAAGGGGCCATGAAACATTGCAGGGCTGCTGAAGCAGACACACAAAGCAGCAGAGGGATGGGGAAACAGGTTGGACAGAGCACCAACCTCACCCACAAAATAGCACCGCCTTACCCAAGGAGGCAACTGCATGAGTTACAGTCAATGCTGAGGACTTGAATCCCACTTGTGGTTCACCTTAACATCTGTACAATATCCTTTTAAAAACACAAACAATACGAAGAGGTTCCATGTTAGAAACTAATTTGCAAAGCAGTTATTTTGGTTTAGAGTTCAACTCTGGAAAATTAGGAAGCATCATATTTAGAACAGCATATGACTTAAAAAGATGATTAATGCAAATGGAGGTTAACAGTTACGTTTGCATACTAATTTTCCTGCAAATCATCGGCTCATTCAGTGCACAGGATGGCTCACACAGGCAGAACTAAGCTTCTGCAACCCTCAGCCAGACATTTGCTGACAGACAGGCCTTAGGTTTAGCAATCCAAGTATCTGAATGTTTTGAAGTGTAGTTTTAATTCATGCTTAAAATACAGTTTTGAATAAAAAACTAAGCTAATGCATGTTATCCTGCTTAGATAAGTACCATTCAAACTCCCTTCTTGCTTTGGGTTCACAAGAGCCTGCCTTCCATCACTCACACAGCACCAGTGACTCGGACAGAATCACCCATATGTAATTAAACCCTAACACACAGGGCTTGCCTTGCCAAATCCCACCTGCAGGCAATAGGTGGACTAAAGGAAACCTCCCACTGTCCCACTCTGCCTTAGCCCCCACTGAAGACTTTGCTGGGGGAAAAAAAGGCTTTAAGCTCACCACTGGGAGCCTCTGGAGCCAAACAAAGTCACAGGACAAGTTATTCCATATGGTGATGAACTGAGGTTTATTGTACTCCACTTGAAGCTGGAAGTTCACCAAGCATGATGATGTCCACCCCACTACACAACAACGAAACCCGCTGTTTTCCAACCCTACAGAGCACAGGCTCACTCCTCACGTTATTACACCTACCAGGATCACTGTCACCAAATCTAAGTGTGCAAAATCCAGATAGGACCTGCAGGGACAGAAGGGAGGGAGGCCACGACTTTGTTCTCCATGCATGAGCCAGCAACAAAGGCTCTGCAAATAGCACTGCGTTGCCACTTTGACAGTAATACGAGGCAAAAAGGACTCCAGCTCACTCTCTTACAGCAACAGTGGTTCTGCAGTGTTCATAAGGATGAAGTATTGTCCGTTAAGGAACACAGTGTCCAGCAGATGAGTTGAGTACTATACAGACAGAACACATCATTTGTTGCATGTATAGAGAGCGCACGCAGATTGGTGTTATACTAGGTAACATGATTTAGTTCATTACTGTTCTATTGACAGGTAACACAATAATCTAAATGAATACTGATAATAAATTAGAGGTAAACTTCAGTCTTACCAGGGTCTCACAGGGCAATCCATTTTCTCCCAGTCTGGAGGAAATCACATTAATTACAGTGAAACCACATTCCTGACCATGCTTGAAATCTCACTTCCAGCACAGAGCAATAGAAGCAGCAACCTGTGATGCAATACTGCTGCAGAGTCAGCAGCTGCAGCGTGCAGCCTGCTGGAGATGGAGCTGTCAGCAGGCTGCTGGCCAGCCCGGCTGTGGAGCCCCTGCTGGACCCAACCTAGGGCAGTGCACAGCAGCACCTGGAGCAACCAGAGACAAGGCAAAAAGCTGCTTGTGCCTGCCATAGAGAACCTTCAGAACTCACACCCGACTGACCTTTGAGAACACAGCGATGGGGACAACAGTTACACTGTGCGCTGTGCTCTGCATTTGCAGTCAGCCATGGTCTGGAAGCACTTCAGCTGAGCAGCAGCTTTTGTTGGCACTTGCACTGCAAGCTTACATAGCTCATGTCTTGATTTCTTACTGACCTTCTCATGGCACAGTTGGAATCAAGGTCTTCCTCTCACCCACTGTCCCCAGTCTGCACTCAGAACTGACAGTGCTCGCCCCTGCGAGCCATTCTCATTGCCTGCTCTTGTGCAGAGCATGCTCACAGCACGCTGACAGCACCCAACTTTTCCCTTAACTCAAACCTCTTCCCAGCCTTCCAAGAAAGAACACACCTTACGCACAACAGGGGACAGCGACTTCACACCCGGATCAGGACAGGGCTGGAGGAACCCTGCTTTGTTCCAAAGCACACAGGAACTAGCGTGCACACACATTGCTTCAGGAACACGGGCTCCCCGCTTGCAGTGCCTCTTTGCTGACAGCATTCCCTGAGCAGCGCATGGGAAGCACAGCACGTTGGGAGCAGCACACATATGCTTCTCATCCAGCACCCTCCACGAGTGAGAGGCACTCCTTGCTTTCTCTCCTCACAGCACAGACCTCATTCACAGGATCAAGTCACAGTCGTTTCCCCCACGAGGCAACAGCTGCACAGCGTTAACCACAAAGCCTCGTTGCACAGCCACGTGCAGCCCAACACCTGTGGTGCTCCTGACCACCACCAGCCCGCTTACAAACATCCCGCCTGCAGGAGCCACCAGAGAACCGCTGGCTATCAGCACCCCACAGGAGCCCGGCTGAGGCAGTAAGGCTTTATAACACACCAAAGATGCGCGGGTCACTCACCTCGCTCTGGGCAGATCCCAGCCTGCGGGCACCACACCACCAGGCAGCGGCTGCTGAGCAGAGCCCGCAGCACAGCAGGTTCCCACACCGGGGCCGCGAGGCTGCCCGCAGCTCTGCTGATTACCTGTAGTGCAGGCAGCTGTGCGCGCGCCGAGCTGCTGCCCCTGCCGCTCCTTCTGTAAGCGATCGCTTACGGCTGTTACGGTGGTTTCAGACACAACTCGTCGGTCAGCCTGCTGCAAGCACCAACCGAGAAACCCCACAGGGGACCCCTAACGAGCCCTCGTCCTGAACCCGGCGCACGGCAAACTCGAAGCCCACGCACTCGCCGTTCGCACACAACCTTTCCGTGCCGCGCTGTAGCAGGGCTCCCCGCAACTCTCACAGCAGAAGCGGCCTACGGAGCCGAGAACGTGTCACAGCGCAGCGCGGAGCTCGCCCTGCCCCGCACGACGGCGCCGCTGCGCGAACAGCGGAGCGCCTTCAGCCGTCCGGGGCCCCGAGCGGCACAACGGAACGCGGCGGCCCGGCCGCCCGCCCCGGGACGGCGCCGCTCATCCCGCCGCGGGAAGTTGGCGTGGGGCGGCGCCGCCTCCAAACTTTCCCCGCCGCGGAGATGCTCCCGGCGCGCCGTCCGCCCGCGCGGCCCCTCCGCACAGAGCCGGCCCGCCCCGCGGGACCCACGGCGGCGGCGGCGGCCCCGCTGCGCCCAGCGTCGCGCACGGCCGCGTCGGAGCACGGCACAGCACAGCACAGCACGTACCTGCTGCTGCTGCTGCCCGCCGCACCGCGTAGCTCCGCTCCGGCGGGGGCTCGGCGCGCGCCTCGCGCGTGAGCGGCACCGCGAGGGGAGAGCGGAGGGGAACGCCGCGCGCGCGCTCAGCCGCCCTTCCTCCCGGGTCGCCTTGGAAACGGCGCGCGGCGCGAAGAGGGGGAGGAGGAGGAGGAGGTTTAAAGGGGGCGCGCGCGCGTGTGCTCGCCCCGCGTCACGTGGGCGCCGCCGAACCAATGGGCGACGGCGGACGGCGGGCGCCGTAGTACTACGGCCCGGGGAAGGCGAGGCGCGAGAGCGCGGGGCGGGGCGGCGGCGGCGTCCTCCCCTCAGGGGCGGCGGCCCCGCCCCCTCCGCTGGGTCCCCGCAGGGCGGGAGGCGCCGCGCGGTCGCTGTCCGCGGGCAGGTGAGGCCGGCGGGGCGGCGGGCTGCGCTGCGGGCCCGGGCTGAGGGGCCGCCGGGCTGCGGCGGCGGGGTTGGGCCGGGCCGGGCCGGGCTCTGTCAGGGCGGCCGCCGCGCCGGGGCTTGGAATAGTTCGCTGCTAACGTTCCGCCTGCGGTTTGTTTTGTTCTGTTTTCACAGACAGCGGCATTACATAACCGCGTACGGAGAGCGGCCGCGGTTACGCGATGCAGATGAGCGGCGGCGTCGATTCGGCAGATCGCCCTGCGCGCGTGTGAGGGGCAGCGCGGCCGTGCGGTAAGCGGGGCTGCGCACAGCGAGCTGCGGGCCACAACCGCGGGATGCGTCCCAGAGCGCTGCCTTACCTCCGCCTCACGTTCCTACGGCTCCTCCGTGTCCTCGCGAGGAGGTTTTGGACCGTGAGCTTGGCTGCAAACGTGCCGTCACGTATCTCGAGGCGTTCCTTACCGAGATCCTCGTTTGCTGCTGGGTTTTCTTCTGGTGCCTCACCGCTGTGCTGACATCAGTTGCAGCCCTCGTGTAATAAGGGTAATTAGGGGTTGCCACCTAATTAAGAAGATAAAGTCGTTTTAGCGAGACTTTGAGGCAGCGCTTGGAGGAAATAAGGGCTGCGGGTCACTCGCTGCCTCGGGAGACACCGAGACACATCTCAGAATGTAAGCCAGGAGCCCACGAGCAGATTGACACAATTCCCAGCACTTCCCCCTTCTTTCTTTCCAGTACTCAAATATTTCAGCTTGAACTGAGTGATATTTTACTTTTTTTTTTTTTTTTTCCCCTTAGAATGAATACATAATGCAGTAAAATCCTATTCAGATACACCTTAATATAAATGAAGGGACAGTGTATGTGTGAAATGGTCATTTGACTGAAATGATCTTAATTTTGGGGGGAGAGCTTCACTAGAAATTAATTTTAAGAATGCTTGGATAACAAAGGACCATAAAGCACAATCCAGATCCTTGTTCAGTGTGGGTTTTTTTTATATCTCTCAGTGCTCCTTAAGATTTCCAGCTACCACCTGCTGGGAATACCACAACCCATGAATACTTAGAATAGTTAACCATTAAAAGTACACAAAAGTAAGTGATAATTACAGCTCACTGTTCTCAGTGTAATGGGAGCAAAGCGCACGGGTTCATTTAAAGACAAATCCAATGACTTCCAAAGGCTTTTCCCAGCCTCCAGTACAGCCATGTATTAGCACATAGTTTTGCCAGCCCTGAACCCATTACAGTTTTGTGTCTGAGTCCTCAGTCTGCCCAGAAATCCAGTAGCAGTTCCCAACAAGAAAAAAATCTGTAGTCCTTTCCCCCAGTGTTTCATTGCCCAAGAAACACAGAAGTGCATCTTTTTTTTTTTTTTTTTCCCACGTGCTTCACTTTAATCTGTGATTTCTCTGCTTTAAAATAGTAACCTGGTATTTCTGTCACTTCTGCAGCATTCAGCAGGGATTACATGTTTGCTGAGTTACTGATTCAGAGCACAGTTCAGCAAAGGACGTAAACATGCTTTAACTTAGTGATTTACAGAGGACCAGGATGTTGTTAACTCTAAACACAATTTAAATCCTTTCCTAAACTGTAGCCCTTAGTAACAGAATCAGACTATAAACAGAACTTTGAGGTAATTGAAGAGGCTAAAACAGTATCCATATTTATCTCTGTGGGCATTGGTGAGCTAACTTTAATGTATAAACAGTAATCTTTCAAGCAATACAGTGTTACTATCATTGTTAATACCAGTTCAGATGACAAAGATATAGGAAAAAAGGTAGAACTGACCTGAATTATTTTCAATGAATTAAACTGGTGAAAAGCAGAACAGACTATATTTTAAACTTCAGCTTAAAATACTCTAATTTGGTACACAAAGTAATCTTTCAAAAAGCTCCCAAGGTGCATGCAAGATAAACTTTTAAACCTCCACAGACTTACATTCCTGGTTTCTGTGTGCATAAGATATAGTTGTGTCTCAAAAGAAGACTTTGAGTTTGGAAGCTGTAGAGTAGATGAACAAATGATCCCTTATGTTGCACATACTAGCTCGTGCCACAGATGTAAACAAGTTAGAATCAGGCTTAGCAACAATTTCAGCTATAACAATTTGTTTACCTGTATAGCAATAGATCAGTGTATTTTTCTAACGAGGTGGAGAGCCTGGTTTGCTCTGATTAGGACTCTGATACTTCAACTCTGGTAAGACTGAAACAAGCAATGAAGAGGAACACATTTACCTATAAATGCATGACTACCTAATGATTTACTTTAAAGTCTTAAACAAACAACAAAGCACCACACCACAACTATGAATGCTGTCAGCAGCATCTCTCTTAAAAGTGATCTTTAACCTGAAGCTGCAATACTTTATTAAAGCTTAAACACAAAATAGAAATGTATGTCCACACGTACATCACCTTGGATTGTTCAGGTTATGCACAGACTTCTTGTAAATACAGAAAACATATATTTTGAGATGGGCTTCTACAGAAAGTCTCCTTTGTAGCACTAGAAACTGAAGTTATTTCTACTAAAGTTGGGATTTTATTGCACTTCATCATGTAGTGGGAATAAAACATTTAATTGAGAGAGAACTTTCAGGTTCAAGGAGAACAAATACTACATCTTTAAATGTGAAAGAGAAATAAGGATTATTTTACTGCTAGGCGCCTCTCAGCATTTCTTCCAATATGAGACAATTTGTCTGATTATTTTATTCTCACTTTAACATATAGTTAGGAGAAAAAAAAAAAAAAAAAAAGATAAAGAAAAAAAAAAAGAAAACATTGAAAAATAAGAACTTCCACACGAGGCTTGTTTAGTAACTTACTTGGTTGGTAAACCTTGAGTATGCCTTCAAAGAAAACAATATAACAACAGTAGATGCTTGTAGTTGGCAGAATAAGTTGTTTTTCAGCAATGTTAAGATTGGCTTCAGTGCAGACAGACAGCTTCTATTCCATATTTTATGAATGATTGTCCACACTTTAAAATCCAATACTTTAAGGTATTTAAGCATGCTTTGGTGTGAATTTGTTTTCACTCTGTAGCCTTGCCCTTAGAAATTAACGGTGTGCTTAAATGCTTGCCATTAAGGTTGAGTTAGTGGAATTTACATGTAACGTTGCTGCCAAAGTACAACAAATGTCGTAGCAGCAACACTGCAAGATGCATTTCAGTAGCTGCTTCCTCAGGGGAAAAGGTCACTAGGATGAATAATGACATGCTACATTTACACGTTTCTCTTTAGGTGCCGTTTTAGAAGAATAGCTTCTGCCCAAGAATTAGAATTGTTGGAATAATATGCGAACAGGTAATTTCTTCCAGCTCCTTACTTGCATATATATATAATTAGAGTTCATTAAATTTGCATTGATTTTGACAGCTGCCTGTGGGATCATCATAACTTCTGCATGGGAATGTCTTCACTTACGACACGTCAATGGAACACATGCTCAAAGTTTGCTTTGTTCAGTCCTAGAATGTAATGGTTTGTGATCACTTATAAGTGGTTTTCCTCACTTATAAGTGAGGAAAATTGCTATAACTCCTTTGTTCTTGGTCAACATTTCCCACCATTCCCCCTTTTGTTTTGTCAGACTTCAGGCCTGGGTGGTCCGTAGACTTTTATCCTCCGGACCAGGCACTACACTTGAGTCAGCATGTGGATTAGCAAGGCTAATTTGGTTCTCTGAGGGTTAAGGTGGTGTTGAGCCTTCATTTGCTTTTCTTTTTAATAGATAGGATGGTCAAGTTAATTTAAAAAAATAAATTAAATGGGAATAGGCAAGATAGTTGAGTGTCAAGTGTTCATGAACGTCCTTGAAAAGAGAAATTGTGCGTCAGTGTATTTGGAGGCTGCTGTAACCTCTGCCAGTTTTAAATAATCAGTCTAGCTTTGTAAGGAACAATCTTGCTTCATTCTTTTCCATCTCCCCTTTCAGCAAAACCAGACTTTTTTTTTTTTTTTAAATAACTTTTGTATCTTAGTTTTCTTTAATCTCTCCTGTAGAAGGATATATCAGAATGCAGATAAACATTGTGTAGAACGTAGCATTTCTTTTTGATAGCATTTCTGCAATCATATTAATTGGGCAATTAAAAATGCAAAAAATTTAACTTCTCATCACCACTTGACTTGTTAAACTTCTCTATCTTGATAATACTAGTCTGAATGTAGCATCTATTTGACTTTCAAAACGTACAATTAGCATTTTCACATGACAAATTGTAACATATTCCCCAATGTTATTGTAACTGAGTTTTCCTTGCAGCGAACCTCCTCTGATTCTCTGTTATATTCTTCTGCATCATTGACTATAAATTCAAAGGGTTAAAGTGTTACTTTTATACACTCCTGCCTACAAATACAGAGCTATAGCTATCAAATTAGATCCAAACAACAGTATTTTGGTGCAGTGGGTACTGAATACAATCATACGCATTTTTGAATAGTAAAAAATCCTCTACTAGTAGAAACCAATTTTTATTTATTTATTTACTGTTAGAGTATCCTGAATTTTCTTTTCTTCTCCTTCATAATTGCGTGGTCTACTTAATACTGTTTTACTTGAGTACTTAAGTAGTAGCAAAGGATGTAATTTGGTATTAATGAAAAGCACACTTACTTGGAAACTGGGGCACCTGACCTACATGGATGTAGATGTTTGTTCATGCATCCCATTATTGCTAGAATTAAGGTTACAATTTTCCCCTTAGCATTAAAATGAAGCATAGCTCTAGAAAGAAACAGCCTGTAGAGAAATTGTCTGTAATTGCAGTTGAAAAGGTTTTGAGGGCCTCCTAGGCACTTCTTGTTCTCTCTCCCTCGCTTTTTATAAAACAGAGTACCTGAGGTGTTTTTCCAGAACAAAAATGTCCAATTGGATCCTCAATACATGGATCACACTGTAATAGTGAGACGATCTTTTTCCTAAATACTCTGAGTTCTGAATGACTGAGGCATCTAGTTTGTTTCAGTGCTCCACTGCTACACCAGTATGAGACAGTCAGACAGGCCTATCTCTGCAAAAAGAAAAAGCATACAGCTGTAAAGCAGGATTATAAGGCAGTTAATATATTCCCATTAATTCTCACAAGAATTTTTTTGAAGGCTTTTCTTGAGCTATCTGAAATCCTTTTTCTGCAGGGCCTACCCTGTCTCACATTTCCAACTGGTAGAATCTCAACACTTTACTCCCTCAGACACTAAATGGAGCTGAGACCAGGTCTAGGCTGAGAGTTTTGCTTTTTCTCACTTGGTGCTTATATCTTGATACAGTACTAATGTATTCAGTATTCTCTCTTTTCATTTTAGGAAGAGTTTGGCCTTCAATTCAATTACACTGCCACAGAAGTTTCACTCTTATGTTTGAGTAGACTGAAATGAAACAATTTGTAGTTCATGTTTTCTGTTGCCATTTTGCAGTCAGACAGTTGCCCATGCAAAATAACTCTTTTTCCTAAATATTCTGAGTTCTGAATGACTGAGGCATCTAGTTTATTTCCATGGTGAACTTGCAGCAAATTGTTTGCCAATAGATGAGCACAGAAAGCGTCAGAGTTAAAATAAATTTCCATTTCCCTCCTAATGACATGAGGTGGAGCACATGTTTCTGTTATATCACATCCTGAACCAGTGCAATAAGGTCAAACACAAACAATCTTTCCAGGCTTACATCTCCCCTCCAGGTCCCTAATTTATCTGCACACGTGCCAAAAGGTTCAGTTACCATTTGGATGGTAGCACTTGGATAGCATGAACATGAAACTTCAACCCTGTTGATCTCTGTGCTATAACTGCCTTGGTCTTAAAATGATATATGGACTTCATTTACACTCCATGACCAGATGACATTGCTGAAATGGAAAAAATATAAGAAAAGATGAGGAGAGTGGAATTACTGAAGATGGTCCAGTGCATGCCAGGTGTGGTTGCTGCACAGCATAAGGAGTGGCTAACGTTTTCCAGTATTCTTAGAAAAGCCAGATTTATTCCATACACAAAGTTTTATATACAGAAGCTCCTTCTCAGGCAGAATGCCTTTGACCACACTTTCTCACTTTTTCCTGCAGGAACAAAGGGGAACCACAACTCTATTAGTTTCCTGAAAAACAAATGAAAGTTTTGATTCCTTCTAAACAATGCCATATTGTGTACAGAGCATGTCTTCTATACATAAATAGTGAGACAGCAAATTTTGATTTTCACAACTTCTGGGAGAAACAGCAGCAAAAACAACACCTAAAGCGTGAAGTAACACACGATTCTCAGGCTTCCAATGTCAGAAGACTGTTCTATTTTTCTTTTGATCAAGATATTGTAGTTTTATTTTTATTTGTTAAAACTGGTGGTGTCCAGCTGCTATAATTCAGTATCTAATACAGCTGAACCACAGCTGGAAATATTCTGGGATTATCTGTACTGACTCTCTTTCTCTCACAGAAGCTAGTTAAGTTCAAAATGGTTTATGCCACTAGAGCAGGACAAACTGGACTTCATGTCATGTGTACCCCTTCACTGTGTATGGCTGGTGGTCAGGAAAGGCAATGGAGAATCAAAAGCTCCTCTCCATGCACAAGAAAGTTCCTGCATTCATTCATAATAATGACAGATTTGCAACTTTTTTGCATATAGTCACAGTTACCTAAAACAATTCTGCAAGATAAATGGTGCCTACACTGCTGGCCTGAGAAGCAAGACTGAGTCTGTATTTGTTCTTAGTGTGTTTTTTTTTGTCCTGGTTTGTTTTTCTTAAAATGAAGCTGCACCACAACTCATCCCTGAAACACACATGTTTTATATATATATATATATATATATATATTAAGTGTAATTATTGATGAAAATACAGAAATCTCAATTTTTCACTCTTTATTTTGGTCTTATTTTTAAGATCATGAAGAACTCTGTGGCACCAGTTATGGATCTTTTTGTCTAAATGGAGGCATTTGCTATATGATTCCTACTATACCCAGTCCATTCTGCAGGTCAGTGAAACTAAAATTTGTGTTTAAATGTAAAATTGTGTTTAAATACTGGATGGTAGCTGTCTCAAAACAGTTTCTCCATTTTGCTGCTTTAAGAATGCACTGTTAAACCACTGAGTGAAAGAAAATAACTGTTACTTATAGCTGTCTGAAACTCAGTAGTTCACACTCACATAACTTACCAAGCCCACAGAGATGACAGTGAGGAAAACCAAATGAGTATACCTGGGGTATACTTGTTTGATGGATGCAACAGCACTCAGTTATGTATGCATTCAGGATGGCTTCTATATTTAGAGCCATGTTTCCTCCCCTCATTACAATACAACAAATACCCTTTGCAGAATGGAGAATAAAGTGTAAGACAAAGTATTTGGAGTGGCAAAGTACCTTCCCAGTTTTTCTTCCAGGTGATTTATACTGCAAAAATTCTGATCATGCAAAAATGGCCTGACATAAAGAAAAATGGAAGGCACAAAAAAGAATATTATTTTTTAAGGCAAAAAAAAACCCCATGAATATAAGCCAAGACTTACCATGTTCTCTGAATCACAAGGAGATGCTCAAAGGGCAGATTTGCAGTGACAGCCAAAGACCACTTGGTGAAGAAGCATCTAGGAAATGTAAAATAAAGTCAGGTAAATATAGATATTTGTTAGGCCACTAGTTTATTGGGCCATTCTTCCCTTCAGAGTCCATCTCCTGCTTTTGCATTTGTTGACTGCAGTCCCGCTTTTGGATTCCCTGTGTAAATACAGACCTATCCTTTTATTTTCTTTTTCACCAATACATCAAATGATGCCATATTAAATTTTAATTTTCATGGCTCTGCATTTACTAATTCTGAATTACTGTTCATCGAGATAAATTATGGTTAATTTTATAGTTTACATACCATAATAATAGACATTCGGACATCTACTGCCTATAGTTGTGGATGCCACCTCTTTCCTTCTGCTTCTGCTCCCTCTTCAGTCTTGAGTTATAAGTAACAGTAATCGGGTGAAACAGAAGAAAGAAACAGAATGTTTTCTAACATGCCTAATTCAAGAATTTCTTCTGTTTTGTGGGGGACAGTTCAATCTAAAGAAACAAGCTCAGGCATGCAAGCTCACCTAGTAGATGAGGAGAGAAAAGGAAATTTTGCAGTAAATGCTAACTAAAAAACAAGCACAACATATCACTGCCATGTGTATTGTCCAGTGTCATACAATGAATCCAATCCAGAAACAAGGATAAAGCTCAAGAGTGATGTAATTATAGCTGATAAACCTCACAAACTCCTGTGATGTAAAACACATACGACACGCACACACAAAGTAAAACATGCATTTCATGTACCTTCACTGATGCGTGTTTTTTTCTAGAAGGAATCCCTTGTTATTAATATTTAAATGCTTATGTGGAAAAAAGTAGGCTGAACATAGTTATATGGTTTCAAAGCACTCAGTCTCGACTGTTGGTGGACTGCATTATAAGGAAGGCATATTTGATGAAGTAACTGTAGATAAGTAACAAATATTCAGAAGTCATTCTTCAGGAGCACAAGCTAGTCAGCATAGATAAGTTCCACTTTAAAAAAGCTCCAAATGAAGTCATTTGTAATTCACGTGCTAGAAGATTTTATAATCTGCTGAAGCAGAAAAGTACCATCTTAAGAACATTTCTGTTACACTCAGGCAATCTTATTGCATTTAAATTATCAAGTATTTTTCCTCTGTACCTAATGGTTGATTATGAAGTTATAAGGGTTTAAATAGAAGCATTCTATTTAAGCATGTCCTCATTCTAAGCATGTCCCTTAATCAGTCAGAGAAAGCTAATTATAGATGAGAAAGGTTTTGTTTACACACAGATATCTTAGTAATCAGCAGTGATGTGAATAGAAACGACAGAAAAAAACGCATCGCTATTCAGCAGAATTCAGAAAAATATTCTGCACCCTGGAATTTCAGGACTGTCAGCATCACAGAATCACAGCATCACACAGTTGCTCTGAGTTTCTTTAATACAGATTTCTTGCAGACCCCACTGACAGCTTCCAGGTGCTCTCAGATGATCTCTCCCACCAACACAAAAACTGAAGCAGATTTTTAGACTCAAAAGCTGCTTCATTGTTAGCACAGTGTTGATTAAAAGAGCCAAATGGAATAAGAATGGACCAGCAAACTGTCAAAATACCTTAAAACACATTTGCCTTGGCAAAGTTATTCATCTGGACACATGCGTTGAGCTAAACATAGTCCAGCTTACCTGATGTGATGTCACTGGAAGTAATTTCACAACATAAATGGGAAAACTGCATCAATCTTTAGAAAGACATTTCCTTGCATCCTAGCAAATTAAGAGACACTGTTTATTTCTGGATATTTCAGCATAAAGAACTGAAATATCCATTCAGAATTGGATATATATACATTGTAGAGATGTCATATAAATAAAACAATAGTTGACCTTCTTTTCCTCCCACAGCACAACAGAGCAGATTTTAAATACAGCTGATTATGTTAAAACATGAGGTTGCTCAGCTGCCATCTTCCTTTGTTCCTTTTCTAACACTGAGTTAATGACCTCAGCATCAAAAGGCACATCTGTCACCATATGCAAAATGAGCTTCAAACCTGGGAATGCTCAGCTGTACTAAATAAACAAACACACAGCAGAACAGAGAAGGCTGTGAAAGCAGCTGCCTCAGGTGTATCACAAAATGCTGGGCTGAAAGATGTTTGCCTCAGCAGCTGATGTGCAGCTGTCCCATCATCATTAATTAAAGCAGTGCAGAATTAAGTTAAGATTTCATTGTGAGGTGAAGTTCTGCTGTTTCTGTGTTGTCTTACACAGGACATCCCTGAGAACCTTCTTTCTCATTTCAGAGAAGATACAGGCTGTTGTTTGCTGGTTTGTTTGTGTGTTTCCTCCTCTTTCCCCCACTTTCCACTCAACATTTTCAGAGCAGAACACACAGTTAATGCATGCTTTAGGATGTATGACTTTACAAGCCATCAGGATATTTCTGTACACCTTATCCTTGTCTGGTTCTTTCTTAAGTGGGACCTTCATTCACTGTCGAATGTCCCCACATGTGATACACTTGCTGCTTCAGAATTTACATCTTGCTGAAGACTACTGAGCTTTGCTACTTTCCTTGCCTTCAAAACCATGCTTCTGCATACCCTAATCTCGTTTGAAAACAACTGTTTTGAAAAAAGTGTCCAGTCAGTATTTTCCAATTCTGCTTTTTGCTTGAAAGCTACAAACAGAGGTTAGAATACACACCGAATGTATAACCAAAAAGTTAATTATTACACTTCATTTTTAATGGGACATAAAATAGAAATTACTACGTTATCTCATGAGCTTGAGACATATTAGTGATAAGACTCACCAGATATTATGGCAAAGCACATCACATATGGCATGCTAAGGGAAAATAATCCATTCTTTCCACTTATTTCCAGTAGTAGCATGAGATTTATTTTACTCTCTATGGACACGAATGCAGCTTCAGAGTAGCAGTTTGGAAAATCCTGTGGATACAGAATTTTTTTTAAAGCCATTTAAAAACTTCCAGGTAACTTTGCCATTGCTCATTGACTTAGGCTTTGAAGTCTTTTTCATATTTACTAGATGCCCTTATAGTGTATGAATTAGTTAAAGACTTCTACAGACCAAAGATTACAGTGATTTTGAAGCTGTCAATCTTCAAAATCTCGATTACATTGGCACACAGCTTATTTTTCAGATGTCTTTTACTACTTAGAGCTTTTTGTACGTGCAAGTAATTTTTCTACCAGGTAACATGCAGTTTTTTCCTCACTAAAAGAAGACTAAAGGAAAACTAAAATCAACACTCGTTGTATAATAATAAGCAATGGGACATCTGTGTGTGCATCTGAATCAAATCTTACTTCCAATGATTAATCTGTCAGATATTGCTTGTGCTACCCACCTTAAAGTCTGGAAGAGAAGGAAACCCTGCCTTCTCAACTAAATCAGACAGGCAGTGTGTCTGCAAATGAGACTGCAGTAATGCTTTGTGTTACTGAAAAGCTGCTGTGTTTATTTTCTTATTGATGCTTTCTGATCCGATCTCTAACTGTAATTCTAGACCTGCTAGTCATGTCCTGTCATCTAATTCAATGCAATCTATTTCCTTCCACCCTTTTATTGATGCTGCTGTGGGTAGTTCTGATTAAAGTATTATGTCAGTGTTTCATCTCCAGCACGGGTGCTATATTAAGTTCATATATAAGAGCTGCTCATCTGATCTGACAAGAGGTGCAGGTGTGTACGTGGGTGTGTGTTGGCATCAAGGAAAGCAGAAGCCTGGATGCTCTGTGAAAGAGGAGTGTCTAGTCTCAACTGTTCTCAAACATCTGAAGGCAGCCGTCTTTCAAATCTGATTGCATTAGAAATTATCATTTCTTAGAGAAGATTTTTTTTTTTCCCATTTAAAAAAAATCAACTTTGGAATGCTACACAGGACCATTTTGAGCCAACAGACAAATGTCGTTGTGCAACAGCAACACTCAGCCAGGTGACCACAAGTAATTGTTATAACCTCCTCATATTGTATGTAGCCCAGAAGCAGGCTTTTATGTCCTTTGTACTCATGCATTCAAGCACCTGCCATATTAACAACTCTAAATATGTCACGCTTAACTTTTTCCATGTTCTGCTTTAAGGTATCCATTATAAACAAGATCAACCTAGAGCTGTCACTGTCTTTTAAAGTTGTGTCTATTAAACCTGACTGCTTCTAAAAGACACTATAGATACCCACGAGTCTGGATTCTGTTCCTAAACCACATGCTTGTTAGAGGTTGCTTTTCTGTCTTGCTTGCAGCCACTGAGTGTGCAACTCCACTGCAATTTTTAGCACTCTACTGATGCAACAGTGTAAGATCATCTTTTGAGTAAGTTTTGCTGCTCACTTGATATCCACTTACTTTCTTTCCCACCAATTTTAGGAAAAGACTTGACACAGAAACCCTTACCTTTCTTGGTTATCTTAAAGCATCAGTTGCTTGCGTATTTAACATAGCCCTTCACTGGTTTGCATGTCAGCACCAGTGCCTTCTTAAAAACTCATGCAAACCAGTATTTGAACATGTTCAGTTAAGGCATTTTTGAAAATGCACAACAGAATAGCCTACTGGTAGGATCACATTAGCTATGTTTGTTTATGTAAATGCAACCAAGAGATACCCAACATTATTTTTTCTGTTTCTACAAAAGCTTCCATCATTTTGGGGTTTTAAGACAATGTTTTTTTATGCAGGAAGGAATCTCTTTTGGTGAAGGTGTCAACAAGTCAGCCCAGAGAAAGCACAGATAGGAAGCTTTGTGATCCTCGATCCATTGCACACTGCCAAGCAGATACTATCAAATTGCCAAGACAAGTGAAATGTTTCTAAAATTTGCATCCAGGAAGAATTAATACATTTAGCATTAAGGATGTTTAAGTTTTGCACGTGCTTTTCTTTAGTGCAGATATTTTTCCCTTTGCTATAATGTTATATTCACATATTGAATAAATATGAATAAATTTACTCCTTAGAGTCCTAGGCCTCGTGGCTCCTTTTCCTCTTGAAGGACTGCCTTAAAGATCTGGTTCTGTCTTCTATTTAGGAGAAAGTTGCTAAGTCTCAATGACCTGTTTGCAACTCCACCATTGCATTCCTTTTGTTTGTTAGTTTTTTCTCCCCATGTTTATCTTTAAGCAGAGCATGAATATGGCTTCCATGGATGATTTATGTCAGCTCAGTCTACTATATCTCAACAGATCTCTAACCCTGTGATTTTAACCTAATCCTATCTATGCAACTTCCTTTAGCTAGAAGGATCAACTTTATTTCCTCCTGCTTCATTTTTCCTTTGGACCACTGACTTAGCTCCCTTTACACACATTCTCTAGAACTTTTCCATTAGCCTCAGTTTACACCAAAGCCTATTTATTTGTTCTTCATATATCACATTAGCCTAGCATTATCTGACAGTTTTCATTGCTATTCAAGAATGCTTCTATGAATATTATATTCCCTTCTCTATTCCTGTTACTTTATTCAGTTCTACAAAGCATTTCTCTCTCACTTGCTAGGGAACAATGCCCTACTCAAGCTGCATTTCTATTCTTAAGTTATGCCACAGGTTCTCAGGAATAGGCTCCTGAAATGCCACTATACTTACAATAAATATCTGGAGCATTATCTCAAGCAATCAGAGCAGTCTGCCTATCTTTCTCCCAGCAGCTGAGTGCAGTAATTCTGAGAAGTCTCACATTGTCCTTAAGTAAATGGTGACTGTTTGATCAGTGGCAGAGCTTTAATAAGTGATGATACCTGTGGGATTATTTTTTCTACCCTCCAGTCATCTGTACAAGACTTCAATTTTATTTTTGAATACAAAGAATTCAAAGAAATGCTAGTAGTTCTTCATGTCATAGTTTAGACCTGTACTGAAGACCTTTAGTACTGAGCTAGTAGTCCATAAGTCACAGAAAATTGGTGCTGGGAGCCATACCAAGTGAGCGTGGTGATATGCTGACAGCAATCTATTTGTTGGATTTAGATATGCTTGACATTTTTCCTTCTTGGCTGTTCCTTCCCCCTTAACCCCTTGTTAATCTCTTATCTGAAATCATACCTTGCAGCTGCCAGAGGCAATTCACATCACTAAATACGTTATGGAGCTCAGCCCGTTTTCCTCAGATAGAGCCTGAAGTTGCCCATGTCACAGATTATTATGACTTCAGTGCCAGAAATAGCAAGAAGCGAGACCTTCAGTAATAGAAACAGAGAGGAGCACAAACACACAAAGATACATACAGAATGTAGTCACTAAGTAAAGTGCTTTCCACTTTCTGTGATGCAGTAAATTCCTTAAGAAAATTTTGCAGAATAAAAGCTAAAAACAAGAAAAATGAAGCATAGTTTAACTTCAGCCTACATAATTTTGATCAATATGAATTACTAAGCCATTTAGCAAGTTTGTTTTAATAACAAAATAGCATTTTATAATTAGTTTGGTTCTAGATTTTGTGAGTACAGCATACAAAGCCTTTCAAAATAAGGTAGGCCTTAAGGTCAGCAACCAGTTGGCACCCAACCAGACAAGTTTAAGTGCTACACTGTGACGTACCAAGGAAGCTGCATGCTCTTTAATCCCTCAGCTTTACAGTAAATCCAGGCTGGAGTGGAAACAGACTATAAATTAAATATGTCATGAGGAGTGCAAATCAAATTTCACTTCCATGTTTTCAGAATATTTATTGACATTACTTGAATTAGGTCGCATGGGATTAAATGGTAACAGCTTTTAGGTTACCTGCTTTATTTAATGGGTTACTGCAGTTTTAGTCTTGAGACAGCTCAGAGTTTTAGATGCCTTCCCCCCCTCACCACCACATTTTTTTTAAAAACCAAACACAATAAGAAGAAATCAAAGTGGAGAATACTGAAGAGCCATAGCAATCTCTTAAACAACACAGCTCTATCAGTTACTTCCTTTGCTGTTTTCTTTGACATACCCCAGTGCTTTTCCTTGTAATATCTGAGCCATTGCTGCTGCCACCACAACCCTTGGGTTTACAGCATACCTGGCCTGGCAGAGGGCTCAGCTGTCATCCAGGTGTAAGCTCAGAGGTAGGTCGGAATCTCCTTTGGGTGACAAGTTATTGCTCATTCTCAGAGAGATACAAACATGTTGGAAGCCTCATTAAATAATAATCAGCACTGTGGGGCACCATCTATACATACCTCCAGTGTTTCCTTTGTAGTCTTCCTTGGTAGATATGCTTACTTTTTGTGCACAAAACCCATTTTGGTCAACTTAGCCTACATGCCCAACATGCAACAAGAACTTGCTTGGTATGGTAATTCTTCCCCTCATAGCTAATGACAAGCAGTAAGGCATCTTCCATGTCTCTGTTTCAGTTCCTGACCTACACTTAGCATCACTATATGATGTAAATGCCTTTACAGAAGCTGCTGTCTTGTCCTCAGAGCTCTCTTTCAACCTACACACCTGGAAACATTCACAGCAGTCTAGCTGCTTTAGTTTATTCCCAGTCATCATCTCTGACAGTAGCTCTGGCAATGGCTAGCCCAGCTTGTATAAGCAGTGCAATAAAAAATAACAGTGTTATTAATAATATTATTAATCATATTAACGCTACAAATAGTATTAATAACAATGTTATTACTACTACTACTACTAAAATAGACCATAAGAAACCCCACATAGTTCCCCCATGCAACCCATCACATTTAGCTCTGGACCATAGTCACATTTTGGTTTGCGTCTCTGGTTATGTTTCTGTTTCTGCTGCTTATAGACATCAGGCTACTGGAGGCACTGATTCTAATTGCTCTGTCAGGAGGTTGTTCTGGGAGCTCTAAGAGTTTTGCTGTTGTGCTTCTTGCAGACATCTTCCAAAAGTAGCAGGCCAAGCTTCAGCCTTATTTAAGTCAGTCTTCTCTATCTTCATTTTACATATAGACACCACTACCCTCCCAAGCTGCCATTTAATGCCTGCTCATTTCTATACACAATGAAAGATAAATAGAAAATCCATATTTTAAGGCTATACTTCATTTCTTCATCCCTGCAAACTACCTAAGAACAATTAGATGCAACAGGATTGTCTTCAACATTGTTGTCACAAAGGAGGCTATCTTATGGATGGAATTTCTTTTTTCTAAGATGTATTACTTACCAGCAAGGAAGGAAGTTCTGTTTGAATCTTCCCATTAAACACCAGATTTTCAGACTGTGTGGGGTTATTTTTCAAATGGAGGAGGTTTGATGTGTTCCTTTCTTTCCTAATAATGTCTCAATAACGAGGCAGAAGGAAGTCCCAGAGCACTTGTTCAGGCTGTAGTCATTTCATAAGACAAGCCTAATTTCTGCATAACAAATAGTTTAAGCTGGCTCACTGCAGCTCTTCAGAAGCCTTGTTCCCTAGGGTGCCTAAGCTAACTGCCTAGATGTGCAAACAAGTCTTGTCTGGAAGAAACGTAAGAGTTCAAGATGTTTTTCTGCACTGTGCAAAACTTTCTGCTTCCTCTGTAGCTTCTGATGTATTGGGAATCCTCTCTTTGGAAGAAGTTTTCAGAAGCTCACTATGTGAAATAAGCATAGGAGGGAAACCTTCAATTAAGTCTCTCAGAGTCATCCACTGAGCACGAATTATTTTTTGGAACAAATTATTTCACTGAAATAAACTACCTTTGCAATTTAAGTGTCTTAGCTATTCAGGTGTCTTAGATGAATTCCCAAGGAGTTCTTCAACAAAGAATAGGAACAAGTTACACAGTAGGAAGAAAAGAAAGTACGACTACAATGTGCAAGATAAGATCCTGTGGGATAACTCGGTTAACACTAAAAAGCTGGATTTAATTTAATCTACCTATAAAAGAGGCAGATTTAACTGTGTGATATATTGTTAATCCAATAAACATATTGAGAAATACACAATTTAACAGTTTTATGAAACAACTGTATGAATCAGAATATAAATGTAATGCCCAACATGCCTAATTCCCTTTATTCCAGAAATATGAGGCAAGTGGAAATGCCCTAAGAAAGTGCTATGAAAGAAATGTAAACTTCTCCCCACTCTCACCCCACTTAAGACAAAAAGACTTTTTATGTTAGATGACACCTAATGCTCTCATTCATATACAACTTGGCTTTCCAGGTGTATTGAGAATTACACAGGAGCACGCTGTGAAGAAGTTTTGCTGCCCAGCATCAAGTCTCAAACAAAAGGTGACCTGTTTGCAGTTCTCTTGGCTTCACTTCTCCTTCTCGGAGTTCTTTTAATTGGAACATTCTACTTCCTTTGCAGGTAAAAGCACTTCTGAGTGCTGAAGCTATTTAATCAAGTAGAAATTGCTTCTGGTAATCATGTACTAATTATTTGAATATAAAAGTATGTAATGCATTATCCATAAGGTTTGTGTGGTTATTTAGCATAATTAATGTGGATGTCTCAACTTGTTGCTTATAATGTTTTACTTCCTTCTAAATGTCTTTTCTAAACTACTACTTCTAGTTGCTTTCCAAAAGGCCAGTTTTGGAGAAATTGCACATTACACCTGGAGTTACCATTAATATTTTAAAATATTAGTAAACTCTTACATTGTCCAAAGTTTAAGAAGCAGTGGTAATTACCAAAGTGCAGCTTCACTGCAGTTGGCAGCCAAAGTAACTGGTGCCTTTACACAGTTCCTATTTGTGCAAACAAGTCAATCTCTTATGTCCTCCCTTGTTTTTGAGGTACTATATATATTTATGCCTTTATAGGACAACTTAGTAGGCCCTGTAATTATTAGCCATCGCACACATGAAGCCTCTCAGTGCTTCTATGCTGCATTTCTCTCTGGCTATGATGTTCTTCTTGCAGTTCTGTTCCTCACTTTTCCATAATCAGATTGCCAAATCAACCCCTCTGATCAGCACCTTTCAATAAGCAACTTCTGAAGAGCCAGTCTAGTTTCACCCCAGCTGCCATAAAAGAAAACAAGTGCCATTTTCCTATAGCTGAGTACACTGAGAAGAGATTCAGAGTAGTTGATAAAACAGTATTAAAAAAAGTAGAGGATATCCCTCCCTTCCCTTAGACATTTAAATTAAATTATCCCTATTTTATCAGCAGTGCAGCCCTATATTAGTAGTTAGCAAAAAAAAGTATTTACAAATTATTATAAAGTTATTAGAATAGAACAGAGCTTTAAATAACTTCAAAAATTCATACAAGTCATAGAATCATTTGAGTTGGAAGAAACCCCCAAAGGTCAGCTAGTCCAACTCTCCTGCACAGAACAGGTACACCTACAGCTCAATCAGGTGCTCAGAGCATGTCTCCAAGGGGCATCCACCACCCTCTCTGGGCAGCCTGTGCCAGTGCCTCACCAAATTTGTTTGGGCAAACAAGCTCATCCTTATCTTCTTTGCTGATACCTGGTCTTTGATGAAGGCAGTTGTTTTCATCCATGAGCTAGGTTTTGGTTTTTTTCTCTTCTCAAGAAAGCCAGAAAGGGAGAACTTGGAGCACTTGGTACTCCTTGAACACTGCTTTTCTCACTGTCTCAACAACTTTCTGAGTTAGGTGGGTATTTCAACCTAGAAAAGCACTCCAGTGTTCCAGAAGCCAAAGATGCTGTCAAATTTCTCTTCTTTGGCAGAAGGTTCATTGTGTCCATCACGTGCCATCAGCAATACAATAAGAGGCAAGAGGAGCCCAGTAGAGAATGTAGAACAGGGTTCCCTGGGCACTCCCAAAGCACCCACAGCTGTTCCCAGCTCACCCTGGCAAGCAGAAGCCTTAACCTCACCTCAGGCCCATGATGGTGCATTGAAAAATGAACTGAAAAGCAAAGCTGACTGCAGCCACGTGTGCATGTGTTTGGACCACCACCCAAACCAGTGCTCATCAAACACAGTGCTATTCAAATACCATCACCCATCTGTGTACAGAAGCCCGCAGACTTCTTGCTGGTGTTATCATTCTGGATCCAACTGAGAGCAATTTGCAGTGGGGCACTAATTGCTCCCTGTGTTGGAAGCTGTGGCAGAAAAGGCAGAAGCCCAGCTCTCCTGTAGAGATGCATGGAGACTCTGTGTGATCTCTGCTAATGTAGCAGTGTTGCTCTGGAGACAGAAAACGTTTGCTGAAAATCTCTGGGAGATGAAAAGTATCTCCATTGAGAAATACCCCCAGATATGTTGTGAAGCTCTAACTTTCCCTTATGAAGCCAATACGACATCTCTTCTTTGGTGTGATCTTGGAAGCATGGCTTTACGTAACATAAATAACACAATGTCTCATATAACTGTTTCTACAGAGGCAAAAAAAGAGGAAAAAAAAAGACTAATCCATTATAGAAGCTTTTTCCTCTTGCATACAGTAAAATTAGGGAAGGCTGGAGCCAATTTACTAAGTTTTATGGTCAAAGACCCTTACATACCAATGTACAGAAACTTAGCATAACAGCAATTACAGGTCTGCACAGCTCCTATTTTACATAGTTGGAAGGTCAACCTCAAAAACTGCATTTCTTTATAGAAATCAGTTTACTTAGGCAGAACAAGCAGTAGAGCCTCTCAGAGAAACAAGGACAGCAACTCAGTCTGATGACTTAGCTGCCCATGGATCTAGCTTTCATACCAGCCTATCTTGGGAAATCTCAAAATCATGATTAACTTCTCTACAGAAGGCTGGTTCAGGACAAGTCTGCAGTTGTGTTCTGAGAAAAACAGGAAAGCATTCAAAATCCCTGCTATTACATTGTTCCTCAGGTAACAAATGGCATGTTTTGCTACAAGCAGTTCACAGGTCAGCAGAGGTCCATCTGGCCCTTCCTTCTCCAGAAACATATTGTACAAGGGAGACAATTAAGAAAGAATCACAGAATTGTAGGGGCTGGAAGGGACCTCTAGAGATCATCTAGTCCAACCTCCTGGCAAAGCAGGCTCCCTAGACCAGGTTGCACAGGTAGGTGTCCAGGTGGATCTGATTATGTAGCTGATTAGCATATATTCCACTAAGACAGATTTATAACAAGAAAAAATATGCAAAGGACGGAGTGCCACACTTAGAGGGATAGAGAAAACCCCATGGAATACTAGAATAACAGCAATTTATTTATATACTAGACCATATTAAAATGCCAAATTACCTATATGATAAGCTTATATTGATGAATGGGAACTCTGCCAGCCAAAACCACAGGTCTAGGAATAAAGCCATCGGAGCTATCCAAGACAGCAGATTTTGTGGAGGAGTTGTACCTCCACAGGACACAAACTGGACAGAAAGGACAACAGCTCATGACTCTTCTGAAGAGAGCAGATGTCTAATTACTATTAAAAGAAAGAAGGAAAGAGAAAGCAAGAGAAAGCAAGAGAAAGATCTGTCTAAAGGATCTGTTTCTCCTCAAATGTGGAAAACACCACACTATTGAAATTTCCCTTCTAAATGCTAAGAGAGGTAAAGATAAATTGAACAATTTTGTGTTATCCACTCACTGTTTAATAAAATCCTGACAAATCAGACTGGAACAAGAACATTAGCTTCAAGAGAGAAGCCTTGTAGGTCCAAGTGCTCTGTCCTGCCTCTGATCTCTGTTGCTCTCCCTCAAATACATGCTTCTCAGAAATGTTGAGTTTTAATTACGAAGTAACTGCAGAAGAGCTATGTTGCTCTCTTTTTTTTTTTTTTTTTTCTAGTGGAAGTATCACACAATTAATGTTTATTTTCTCTGGTAACTTTTCATTCTGTGTTGTTTTTTCTCCATTTTTTTTTCTCCTATGGTCAGGAAAGCCACCATTGCAAGGACAGGTTCGTCAGAGTGTGGTGCCCACCTGGTTGAGACTACAAGCAGCAATGGCTGCAACAGTGAGTGCATTTAAAATGAAGTGATGAAAGCAGGGAAAGATTTATTTAGTGAAAAGCATCTGCCTTGTTTGTTTTTCAGAAATAATAACGGAGTAAAGCATTAGAGTGGAAGAATGGGATGTGCAGAGCAACCCTAACAGTTGTAGAGGTTGATATGGTAAGGGGGTTAAGAAAAGAAAGCACACTAATAGGAGGCCTGCTTTTATCTTAGAGAAGACTGCAATTAATAAATGAAGAAAATCTGCTGCATTTAGTAGAGTTTCTATGTGTTTTTACAAGTGCATCAGATTATTCAGAAATCAATATAGCCTACGTTTGAATTTTGTGAGATTTTCCATGACAAGCTACTGTTTTTAGTAATGCACAGATAAGGCATTAGATAGATAGATAGATAGATAGATAGATAGATACATACATACATACATACATACATATATTTCTGTATGAGAAGTATAAAATAATTATCCTTCTCTACAAGAGAAGATGAGGCAACCATTGGATTTTTCAGCATGAGGCTACACCGTGAACTTTTGTCCTGGAGAATTTGAGGACTGCCTCGATTCAGAAGCTTCAAAACTTGTACTCATGTCACATGTCCAGGATTTGGCCTGCTTCAGAATACACTTACAACAAACGTGAGGAAAATAATTACTTTTCTCAAGGCAATACTTAGGCTTTTATTAACAGAGGGTGAGGTACCACTACTGGTGTATAGGTCAGCTTCCTGGTGCAAGATTTTAATTCAAAGAAAATACTGAGAGAACAGATTGGTAATGGTTAAAAGGAGTTTAGTTTGGACTATTTACCCTTTGTTTGGTATACGTTTCTATTGCTAAGCAAGGAACCTTCCTTGATATTTTTGTCTTGCCTTCTGAAAATCTCACTAACGAGGAATCCCAGCTTCTATTTTATGGAGGATAGATGTCAGGAATTTTATTCATTGTGTCCATCCCAGAAACAAAGCAATTTGCAGCCAGAGGTCTTGGTTAGACAAGTGCTGCCCTCTGTAACGATACGTTTGTTTTATCCCCATCACCACTTGCACACCAATATCTGTATCACTCTCTGGTTCCTTACAGGGTTATGTTACTCGAGCAAAGAGAAGTCAAGTGACATGGTCTGCCTCTCTTTCTCCCCTGATGACACAAAGAGAATGGCTGGGTACTGAGAAGCATAGAAAACATGAATTGAACAGTCCTACTTTCATCTCATTTCTACCACTGGAGGTTGTGACTAGGAAAAACAATATGTATTTATACAGCAGCACATCACCTAGCAGCTCACTACGTGGGATCTATCATGTTGTACTGAAGAAAAAGCTTGAGAAAATTTCAGGAAGTGAAAGAGAAGAAAATGCAGAACGCAGATTTCTCATCTCTGAAATAAGGGAAAAAAAGATGTGTAAAAGCGAAGGTGGAAAGGAAAATGTGAATAAGAGCCAGTTCCTGGGGCGTGTACTACATGCTCTGGCATCAGAAAAGATAGTGTGTATTTTACACACATGTCGATGCAAATACAGCAAGACAAAGAAGAAAAGGCAAAGTGTTACAGTGCACACAGTAAGAAGTCAAGGAGAAAATCATAATATAACAGCTATTAGAAAACAACAGAGAAAAATGTATTACTTTCTGAGGACTCATGTCAAAGAAGCTGGAGTTCGAGTGAAAGCTCAGCATCTGCAGGAAAACAGCCAATCAACCAGAGATCCTGAACCAGAAATGTTCCAGTTAGATAAAGCATAGCTTCCTCCTCAAATTAACCAGCTTACATGCTGGTTTTGGGACCCCAAACTTTTCTCAGTTACTCAGGAGGACATTGTTAATAGGAAATAGGAAAGAACAAAGTGATTCTTCATCGCACACTGACATGCCACTGTTAGATTCAGAGTTCTTGAGATGTGCAACAATACTGACAGCTACATCAGAATCAGAGGTAGCTGAAATATTCTGCACAGCCTCCGTGGAATTTAGTCAGAGACGACTGCTGTCAGGTAACCTCTGTGCATTACTGATCATGAGACATTCAGACTGACTAACACTAACATTCAGCACACTGTTTTCACTGAAGAAGAAAAGGCTTATGGTCATCTGAAATGGAAACTGAGGGAGGAAATCTTACTACAGGATGTGGAAAACGAATGGACTGACGTTGTATTCTGTAAACTGTTAAAACCCTCCCAGCTTTCTAGACAGACATGGAGTAATTCTTCAGTATTACCACTCACATTTGCATTATTTGGGAAACAATTTGTACAAAAAGTGAGAATGAATAAATCAAATGGGTGTTTAAATGCAAACAAGTCCATCTATGAAACAATGTTATTCTGAATGAAATCTTATTAGTGGTCCACATTGCTTCACATCCATTGCAACTGAGAATGTTTCAGCTTCTAAAATTAATCATTTCCATTCATAAGCTTACTGAATTTGCCTCTCAGGTCACAAGGAGATTAGGCTATAAATTCATTTTAAGCTGGCCAAACACCAAAGGAAGCACAGGGTAGCCCACATTACCCCTGATTTAATAAACTTGTACAATGCTGTCAAGCAGTGCTTGTTTAAAAATTAAGTAGTCCTGCGAGCAAGAAAGCTACAGAAAACACTGGTTCCAATCAGATGCTGTTCTTGGAGCCAGGGGACTGCAGAAAAATGCTGTGTGTCTGCATAGGGATGGGCAAAGAGGTCTCTTCTCTGCTTCACTGCTGTTTTCAAGAAATATAACATCTCCTATCTTTGAAACTGCTCCTCCATCAGATTAAATGGGATCACACAACTTACATAAATACTAAAAGGACTGTGGATTAGTTTGGGTAGGACTTTTCCCCTGTAGTATGGCCATCTTCAAACACAGCAATGTTAAATGTATCTGCTGAGTTTGGAAAAAGCCTTAGAACTGAACTGTGTGATGATTCTCTGGCAAGGTTATTTAGATAGCTGGGATGCACACATTCACTGTCTGATTATATGGAATAATCAGAAGAATCCCAACATAAACCATCTGCTTTTTTCTTCTCTCTAAGAAGGGCAATGCAGTTTTTCCGTTACTGTATGTAACATAACCCATTTGTGCTTATCCAGAGTCTGGTTGGCTGCTTTGTTTTTAACCTGTTCAACATAATCTGTGCTCTGATACCAGAGAGCAGTTTAGCAAAGTACCAAATGCACGTTCTCTGAAGTACTTACAGGCTGCAGCTCCGTTCTGTGTTTGGTACTCCAGAAAGGCTTTCACCAATAATTATTCCTATAGCTAGCTAAGGCTGTGTGAGAGATACAGAACCTGCAATAATATCAAGACAGTGCTGTTTTCATTCTCCAAACAAACACTAAAACCAGTTTGTATCACTTCTAAATTCACCTCTATTTCATATATGTGTTTTGAGTGTAATTAGAAGAGAATGCTTTTAACTTACCTATTTCTGTACAGGCTTCTTCTGGGCTATAAAGATGTAGCTGACCATCCACTGGCATTTTATTAGCAGGGCTCTGTAATATGAGCTTACGTTGTAGCTCCTATTCTTTTCTCCATCACTGCATTCCCTGTGGTCTCAAACTACTTAGAGTCATTTCTGCCAGCTCTGGAGTTCCTGTTTTGAGGGAATTTGTGTTCACTCTCACTTGTCACACTGACAACAAAGATGAGCTTAATTTAAAAAAGCTGTTTCTAACTCCTGGAGCTGTGAAAAGTTACCCTGAAAAGGTGACATTAATCACTCTGAAACATCGATGTGCTACCTGCTAATCTCAGTGATGCTCTAGCTGTGAAATGTAACAGTGAAGATTTATACATTGTTTTTTTAAGCATAAATCCTATAGATTTGGGAATAAATCTATTTGGAAATAGAATTTTTGCTCTTAAACTATCAAAGGACTTCAAAACTTTTTCCAAGTAGCTATTTCCGTTAATAATTCTAACATAAGTATCCAGGTCATATAATTTTCAAATCATCCAAACTCATCTTATACCTTTCTTTTGAAAAGTTTCCAATTTTCTGATGTCACTATGTGTTACCTGTGTAGAAAAACACCCTAAACTGCTGCTAGGTGTGCCAGCATCACTGTCAGCCACCTGCAATGTCTGAACCTCCATTTTTTTTTAATCTCCTCCATAATATAATCTTGAAAAATAATCAGCTGTCAGGGAGAAATAATTATTTTCTTAATGTTATCACCATGCTCAGGTAGACTTTGAATTAAATCAGAATCACATGTAACCACTTGACTTTATTAGAACTGAGTTTGAGGTTTAATGCTCTAACCAGCCTTCTCAATCATGCTAAAAGTCAAAGTTTGGCTGTATCGTTTACATCTCTGTGTTTACTGTTGGCTGCCAAGGGGGCATGATTCAGGATGAGTCATTCCTCTGTTAAAATAAGGCTCGTTCCAATATTAACCTGGGCCCAAACAAACCTTCTGAAACTGCCAGTAACAAGAAACAAATTCACCCTCTTTGCAGTTTTCTGCAGTTTTTAAGCGAAACTGCTTTCCAACAGCACAGTTGTGACAATTTAGCATAAGTTGGCTTCTCTCTATCAAGCTATTCTTGCTTTCTTGCAACTGTACACTACAGAAAAATCCGTACTAAGAGAATTTTTGCAGCAGTAATTTTAAAATAAAAGTTCTAGTTAATAGTTTGATGCTTTTTTTGTATTGCTGTTTTGGTGGTGCAAATAAGAGGTTATATATCATGCCACTTGCCTTGTGTCATATTTTTTTACACCCTCAGTTCACTTACTTAATTGAAATAAGCATTAAGTGGAAATGAATAATGCTTCATAGCACATATTCAAAACATGGGGAAAAATAATGCCTTTTACCTTCTGTCAGCAAAAATCCCCACTCCTCTCTGCAGACCTCGTTTGAAAGGCTCTCTTTTCTTCACCAACACAAAATCCTGTTGTAGTCCCTTACGATTTACATACTCTTGCAGGAAACTACCACCACCGCTGTAACCATGCAGGTAATGATCATCAGAGAAGTCCTTCTGTGTTGTCATATGCTGTGTGAGAGGCACTGCCATCCACATCTGACCCAATTACCAAATATTCATGTAACTTTGTCCACTTTTGGGGTGACAGAGGTTTGAATGACTGCACTGCAGCTCTTTGTAGCAGCTCAGAATGTGCCCTGTCTTGGGGACTGATGAGCCACACGGGTGGCACATGATACCTGCTAAGCAAATACAATTGGTCTGACTCAGGAGTTTTGTCACAGTTTAAGAGTAAATGACAATTTGGAGGCAAAAGGAATCTGGATACCAAAACACTTTAATCAAATATGTAGCAATATTATGTACCACACCACTGCCCTGGCACACGGGAGAGATGATGCAGTCCAGAGGAGGCAGTGCAGCAATGCCAGCAGGGCAGCATATGCTTCTGGTGTCCTCTGGGCTCTTTCCCCTTCCCCAGTGGTGATGATCCTGGATGCCCACCAGAGCCTTCTTCATGCTGTGGTTACTTCCAGCACTCACAAGCACCTTTAGCTGAAGGACCGAGCTGAGGACACCTCCCCAGAAATGAGCTCCTTCAAACTGCGTTCTCATTTTCTGCTTTGTCGTGCCTTGGCTGAAGCTCACGAGCTGCTTCTTTGGGCACTTAAGGATGTGCCTGCACTCTTGATCCAGATGTGTGGTTGATTATACTTCCTTTATTTCCACTGCAGCAAAAAGTCGGTTGAAGTTGACAGGCTTACGCTAGCAGCTGTGCTGCTGACTAGACCAAACTCACGGAACTCGTGGTAACTACTACAGAAGTCCTGTCTGCACTACAGAAACAAAACATATTCTTTGCCTACTGTTAGGTATATGATGCTACATGGTGAGAAAGGGCCAAGCGTGACGGTCCTGTTATGCTGAAAAGAGAAAACACGCATCTCCCTGTTCTCCACTTCAATTCAAGCACACTGATTTGCCAACTTTTTTTCCAAATGCAGCAACTAAGGCTGTTCCAAGTCACACCCACAGTTACTGACCTCCTGTCCCTGGCAAGAAGGCCACATGGGTTTCACATCCTCTGTCACTGAGATAAGAAACCTCACCGACAACAGAGCCGTGGGAAAGAACGGCCTGTGCTCTGCACCCAATGACAGCAGTTCTGCTCTCAGGACAGGCACACCTCTCCCCACTCATGAGGCCTCTCCCAGCGCCAAGCTGGGAGACATTGACTGGAAGTGGCCAAGTGAAGTCTTGGCTCTCACCTGGGCAGCAAAAGACATAGTGTTGTACAATATACAGCGAAGCATTTTCCTCTTACTAAACTGAGAACAGGGCAGATGCCCAATGACGGATTTCAAAACATGACGAAATGGTCCAAAACAAATCTTACTTTCTTGTCATTCTGTTGCCAAGTGAAAGCAAAAGCAAAGAAGGAATTTATGAGTGAGCAGATATATTATGAGCTACGCTGAGAATATGATGAAAGTACCTACGTGAACCCTGTAACACTACCTTCAGTTGCAGCACCCAAAGTAGATGACTGATGTAAAAGCTTCAGCTCACAAAACACGCAAAAGCCCAA